CATCACTCTTCAAGTTCTCTCAGTCAGGTCAGGTCAAGGGAATTATCACGCACCTATCATTCATTTATCATCACCCATTAATCATTACCAGAAAGTTTTTTATTACTTGAAACATGACGAATTTACTTTACACTGGCTGTACCTACGAGTACAAACCGCACGAAGCCATAAACTAAACAAAGAAAAGAAAAATTTTGGTTGGTAAAAACATAGTTTGAAATTAGCTATGTACCAATTGAGACTTTATTAGACTTCTGTACGCGTGAGTGGGGTCAACTGAAACGCTGAAAATATCAACGAATGACGGAGTTGTTCTCGCAACTTTGCTGAACACTTACAAACAGGGAAACTCGTCGAAAACAATTAAGAAATCAAACTGGAAAAATGTAAAAAAACAAGCGAAGACTTACAAAAGCCGAAGTTTTTTAAAATTGTTATTTCGAGAAAGTGAAGAAATCACAAATACCTAAGCAAAAGTAAAATTACACCACCAGTGTTGAAACGGCGAATAATGAAAATAAAAATGAGCAGTTCTTGCTTAAGAAATTAAAACAATAGACATGTAAGTAGAGTTGTAGACAATGTCTTAACCGCCTCTGTGGTCTAGTGGTAAGACCACCTGCTTCAGACGCAGAGATCCCGGGTTCGATTCCCAGTGGGTGCAGAATTTTCTGCTGGGTTTGGTTGGTGGTAGGGCTTGTTCTAAGTCCGCCTGGCTAGCTACCACCATCTTACCTAAGTCTGTCGCTATAACAACAATGTTAAAAGCATTGTTGTGTTCTGGCAGTTAGAGGTAAGATAGCCAGTTCCTCCGTGGTTGAGGATTCCGGGTGAAGCTCGCTTCCACCTTAGGCCTGATCATCACTTACCATCAGGTGAGATACAGGCCAAGAGCTTTCTCGTTGTGTATAAAAAAAAATGTTCCTAAATGATCGTAAGAATGTAGGTATCTCAACTCTATGACAACTTTACACAGAATTGGGCTGTGTAAAGAACTAGGAGTCCTAGTAGGGGAGAAAGTTACATCTCAGACCAATCGATCACTTTGAGTCTTTCATCAGCATAATTGAAAAAATCTACTTTCACATCATCATCTGGGTTGAATAACTAACCTAGATTCTAATGGGTGAATTTCAACAAGTGCATATTTTTGCCTAATTTTGGTGGAAATTGTTATTTGTGTATTTTTATTCTTTAAATAAAGATCAAATTTATTGGAAACTTATACTGTTTCTAAAATGATTAAGACATTAAATTTTGTCCAGTAGTTTTTTAAATTTTCCTTACACCAAAATTAAGAGAACACCAAAATTTATATTAAAGCACCAAAATTAGAAAATATGCTGTCAGTCGGTCATATATTAGTGCCAAGCTCAAGAAATGGTTTTAAATTTACCAGCACCGACTCCAAAAATATTAATCATGGTATATTGTCCTAATAAATAAATAACGACGTACTTATTTTCTACTTTTAAGTGATTTTTGGCGTCGGTTTTAATTTTTTGCTAAAATTATTTTTTTTCATGCTTTTTAGTTGATTAGTCCTTGTTATTGTCACTGAAGAGGGACAGTACCTATGTTTAATGTGATTAAGACTATAATTTTCCATTTTGTAATGGAAAATTACAGTCTTAATCACAATCCAAGTGTAAATAATCTTCCTAGCAAAATACAGGCTCCCTACTTTAAATATCGGCAACTAAAAAGTATCAATGTATCATGTGTCAATGTATGTATCAACAAATGAGTATTGAGTATCATCTAACTCCTAACTTATGTTGTTTGACCTTTCATCATCAGCTCATCTTAAATACCTGAAATAATACAACTGTATGTACATACCTACCTAAAATATTTAAAGAATTATCCTCCAACTCCTAAGCGTTAAGGAGTTTTACCTTCCATCATCACCTCATCAACATTAGATGATGACTACTTGAATAACTTTAGAAAACGTATTGCATTCCTACAAAATTTGAGGTTTACTCTCGATTTCCCTAGGANGTATTCATTCTAATTTTTTGTAGTTTTTTTTTGCATCTTCAACAAAAACTGTGCGCCATGTCCATTTGGTAATCTTAGATAATAGATAGATTGTATAATCCAAAAATATACTTTTTCCCTAAGTTCTGTTTTGATCTTCAGCTAAAAAAATACATATTGTAAGAAATTAAGGATGTGGACACTGCACCAAAATTAGAAACGCTTAGTTCTATTATTTTTTGTCGAATTTGTAAAAGAAAATACTCATTAATAATGTTGTCCTCAAAATAGAACCTCTGTATATTTTCGTGTAAAAAAAAATCAAAGTTCTATGTCATAAAAAACATATGATTTTCAGCTACGCCGCTCAAAAAATGTGTTTGGGAAATTGACCCTAATACTATTCAAGATGTCAAAGTGGCTTCTTGCACTCCCCAGACTAGAAAAGCCCTGGAGGCCGTGCATCTTGCTTCCTTCGGTGACTCCGAGTCAACAAATGTGGAGCTGTGGAGCTGGTGGAGAGGGAAATAAGTTCAAAAACATCTTTAACTTAGGACGAACTGGCTGCAGATTTATCGATTTACATATCGGTAGTACACAATTTACACAAAAGTGTGCGGTGGCCATACTCTATGTACCAAGCAGTATACTCCTAAGAGCACGCTCATGTGCGCGGCTTAGAAAAATGTTTCCTTTAAGTTGACCCGACCGGGAGCCGAAGGCAAACTTCGCCGACGTGTCCGACCAACAAACTTCACCGCAACTTCGCAAGAAATTACTCCCTTTTAAGATGTACGGCGAAGTTGTAAAGTTCTTGTGATTGCTGCATCTTAGCAAGAAATTTAGTAGCCCGAAGCAAGATTTTACTCAAACAACTGAGGACAATAAGTAAGCTAATTACTTTAATTTCATTTCCACAGACACCGGCCTGCCTATTTTAAAAGATTAAAAATACTTTAATACCCGTGAGTGAAATAAAATGTCTCTGTTAATTTTTCTGTTAAAACGTTCCGTAGCGTGACGTTAATAAACTGCATATTAATCAGTGGAATGCAGCGGCTCGGAAATATCGGATATTTCAATCCGGAGCGTCGCGCACACTCACCCAGAGGTCTCGTGTTGTCCTCACTACAGAAGGGTACTCACAGAAGCTTTGAACAGTCTCACAAGTAGGTTATTGTAAGAAGCCACGTTTTGGGCTTCGATTTCTTTGTGGAAAAATCGGTCACAAACTTAACAGCACAAAAGTCCCTCGTAGCATTTGCCTGAGCTTGGGTAAAATAATGGGAAGCTGATATATTATTATAATACCTTTTATTTAAACTGAGGATTTACTTCTCTTTCTATGATCTGAGGGATTTACTATTTCTATTTCATCATCATTTTCAGCCATAGGACGTCCACTGCTGAACATTTCTATTTACTAGATCAATATTTTGAAATAAATTTAATAGAAAACAGGACACAGTAAGTCCTTTTATCATACGGAAAGTTAAAAAGTTATTCGCATTATAATGTTGTTGTTCTAACTAAAGTATGTAAAGTGCGCCGCACATTCGGCCCGCGCTTATTATGTTCGACGCGGAGTCATACTTTTGCTGGCGAACTTATAATGCATTCTTTTGTATGCTGCCGATTATATTCTGATACTGAGCCTCAAAGAGACACAATAAACTTAATTTTAAGTAAAAAATAAAATAAAAGTGTGATTTAGTACTTCTGAGGGAAATCATATCATTACACGAATATTCATCATCATCATCATCGTCTCAGCCATAGGCCTCCCCCAATGCTTTCCATGCTGCCCGGTTGGTAGCGGCCTGCGTCCAGCGCTTTCCTGCTACCTTTATGATTAGCAAGCTGAAGTGGCAATGGGCAGGGCATATAGTACGCAGAACTGACGGCCGATGGGGCAGCAAGGTTCTGGAGTGGAGGCCGCGTACCGGGAAACGCAGCGTGGGACGTCCACCCACAAGGTGGACCGACGACACGAATATTCTTTTTAAATAAATATTCATGTTATGTAGGTACCTACAAATGGAAAAATAAACTTTATTTAAAATAACACAAAACCGTATCCTTGCTTTATACAATATCAATAAAATAAGAAAAGTTTTGAGCGCGACTGTCCTCTAGTAACTACAGCGTAATCTGTGCAAAATGTTGCAAAGTTACAGAAAAACCGATGTTTATTCAATATGTTATACCTAGTACCTGAATAGCAAAAGTTTTATGAAAAAGCGTGTACACAATGGCTAGACGTATGTAGCTTGAAAACTACATGGAAATTACTTAGATAATACAGAAAAGAACTAAAAAATGTATGATAATAGTACAAAATATTTCGTTATTATTAAAATTATTTTTGGGTCAAACGCACACAATCCCTCTGTCGCCGTCGCTAATCGGATCCTGTTAGTGTAGAGCTAATCCGTGGCTGCTGCCCGCGGGCCACTAATTAACCTGAGCGATCGCTGCACGCCCACATTAGATAATTTGCTATTAGCGCAGTTCAATTTGTGGACGGCGATAATCCTCCAAGCTTCACGATATGTAGTACAACTATAAACTGCTGGTTACCATTCTAGCAATGTAGTATTTAAAGCTTAAATAAACAAATGATAGCTTTACTTGTATTAAGGCTCCACTTCATAAATATCAAAACAGTCATAATGGGCATGCTACTACTGCTAGCAACAGGGTATAAACCTGGAATCTTTAGAATCGCGCTGACGCACCCTGACCGTCAGCGCTGACAGCCGAAATGAATGACGCGTCACTCAATAACGTATTGATCTGAAAGCGCCGACGATCAGCGTGCGGTCAGCGCGAGTCTAAAACCCGCCTAAAGTTTCAACCACACCAACGCGTGCAGATCGCCATCGCCGGCGCGATCATAGGGAAATAACAGGTCGCGTGAACTGTCATGGGTCAAACGATCGCGCCGGCGATGGCAATCTGCACGCGTTGGTGTGGTTGAAGCATAAGGAGTGCGCTGGGCGGCGATTGGCGAGCGCTCACTCCTCCGCGGTGTCGGACTCGCTGGAGCCGAGCGTGAGCTTGTCGTAGAGCGCCGGCACGTAGTCGTACTGGTCGTGGCTCGGGTCGTCGAAGATCTGCTTCTTCATGGTCTTCCAGTCCGGCATGAGGTCCGGCTCGAACAGCCTGCACAGTTAGAAATCTGAGACATACTGATCCTGATGGTTGCACGTGATCCTCGCCTCGAAAAAGTCTTATACTAGGCGGAAAAAGAAGAAAATACGGCACATTTTAGGTGCTGTAACTTTTCCATAATTCTGTATTCTACACATACGTAAATCTAGCTTATTTTGAAATCTGAATTATTTTAAATCCTGTTTTTCTTTGCATGGCATGCAGCAGCGCGATCTTCTTCGATTTAGATTTGTTCCCCATTTAATGCTTTCTTAAGATAGGTTTCGTCTAGACTTTGTGGTTGTGAAGTTCCAAATCCGTACCCAAGTCGAAATAAGTCTGTCGCAAACCGAATTAGTGCTGCACTAAATATATTATTAAGACCAAGAAATTGACTGTTATTGAATAAATAATGTGGTAGTTTATAGATCAGTTATGGATTCATCGTAGGCTTTACACGAAGGGATTTAAATTTTTAAAAAAGTTTGAGCTTTATTCTAGGTTAATATGGGGAGACGAAGGTCAGATATTATTTCCACCACTGCAGTGCAACTTATGGAGTAGTGTCAGCTTTGTTTTGTTTATAATTTCACCCGATCCGTGTCGTGGGAGACAATGTCTAAACTGAGGTGGATTGATAGATTGAGATGCTACAATGTTTATCTCGGTGTACCGTTGTCTGTACACATAGCATAATGTTATCTTTAGGATGGTACATATCGGAAACCCGTTAATATAAATGCCTGGTGACAGAAACTACTCCGCACATCATTGATTTATTCACCCTCTCCGTCTCTTCCTCTCATGCAACGACACAGGGCGAGTGAAGAAGACAGAAGATCCCGAATACATCGAAGTTGTATTGCTTAATAGACCTCTCGCCTCGGATCTGTCATGGTCGAGCATTACAACTCGTTCCTAATTCAGAGGATGCCTGTGAATACCCGCGTTTCATCCCGATTGACATCGTAAAAATTAGCTAGATAATTTGCCATTTGCTTTAGAATTTCCACTTACAAACAGAAATAGGTTCAGAATGTTTTACGTCATTTATAGAATGCTAGGAGAATTAAGAGTGACAGCATACTTGTAACCAGCATGTGCTGTAACAACTGAGCTCACATCTCTTTTCCAGTTTTAATAATCTATTAATTTTCTAACAACGATGTTGATGGATGAATGAAAAAATAAAGCAGCCGGCTTTCAATAATACAACCAGACCCTGTACTTACACGCTGACGCACTCCATGAATCTCTTGAGGTATGGGGCACCAAGGAGGTGCACCAGGTTGCTCATGCCGGTGCAGTTGGTCCACTGCGCGTCCGGTGCCATCAGCATCGCCACCGCCTTGCCGCGGCACACCAGCGGCGCCCCGTACATGCCCTGGACACATGATGACATGTCACACGAACTGGCTTGAATCAGCAAATGATGAAAATAATGTTGGCAATCCACGAAATCAAAAAAAAATCCCATGCATCTTTTTGGGCCAATATACTAGTAGTTATGTAAATAGTTAGCTACTTACATGGCACGGCTGAGCCATTCTATCGGGCTGGAATCAAGAAGTAATAAATTAATTATGATATCGCGATTGTTCCGTTGCATAATTCAGTCACGCACGTTCCATCTAGTAAGCAAACGATATTCAACTATCTTACATGAAACAAGAGTGCATGTGCTCGTGCACATAAGGTAACCTACTAAGTAAGCATGTACTCGTAACTGAATAAAATGAGCCACTACAATTTATATGTTTTCATCGTGGTCGCCCATATAAATAGAATTTGAAAAATTATATAAGTGCTTGATATGAGTAGTTACTCGTAAATAACGATTTGAATAACAGTTGGCCACCCACAAAAGAGACTCTTTCCTCTACGTCAGGTACTTTGGCTCTTTATAAGTAGTATTGGAAGATTCTCGGAAAGTCTTTTCAGAGCAAAGAGAAACGATGAGCATAAAGCACTTACGTCCCTGACGCAGGTGCAGCCGCTCTTGTCGAAGAAACCGAAGAAGCCGAGGTTGCTGAGCGCCTTCTGGAACTTGATGGACAGCGCCTCGCACCAGAGGTTCTTCTTCACGATGTTCAGGAACTGTACCCGCACGTTGCGCTGCAGTAGGAACCGGTGCACCGGGTAGATCCGGTCCTGCGGGTGCGTTTGAGCTAATTGTTACACTGACGATTCTGCTTTAACTGTGCTCTACTGGCTTTCGAAATACACAAGAAAAGATCGGTCGATGAAGCCCTACCTTCCTACCTTTCGTTTTTACTTTCGCACAAGTTTGAACACTGTGTTAGGCCCGGTTTGCACCAAGGCGGAGAAGAGCAGAGAAGTGTTTTGTATAACCAATCAGATTTTATTATTTCCACATCTCTTCTCCGCTTCGTACAGCGCCGCTTCGCCGCCGCTGTCAAATTCTATAGAAAAATTGATCCACCCGACCCTTCTCCGCTCTTCTCCGCTTTGGTGGAAACCAGGCCTTGCAAGGCCTAGTAGTAGTAGAGTATTTATTTTTACGAAGTGTCTGGTTCAAAATCTGAATGTACCCCTCTATAGAAAAAGTGCCAGCCCGGAATCAAGCACTCCTCGTGCAGCGACAGCACCTCCTCGCCGCGCCAGTCCACCGGCAGCGCGCGAAGCGGGATCTCCGCCATCACGTCGGGCACCTTCCGCTTCAGCAGCATCACGGCTGCCGACTTCTGCATCAGGTACCCGCGGTCGCCCGACACGTTCTGCGCAACTGCGTAACAAATAATCCGGGTGGAAAACTGACGCAAATACTACTAAACAGCACCAAATAGGAGTTATTAGTGGAGTTTATAGGCATGTACTTAAGGCGCAACCCGTGATTGTGAGTGATTTGAATACAGCAACGCCCTGCATCTTTGTGAAGTTGTCACGAACCTTTGCACTCCTATGACGACAAACTGTACGTAAATACTTAGTATTTTGCCTGGGATGAGGTATCATGTGCACGCGTCACTTTACGCTAGAGCGCTGGCACCGTCTCTGATTCTCCCCCAGCTGGTTTCTGTTATTCTCACTCCAGCCGCTCGGCACTCGGGCACTCACTCTTGGGGACGAGTATCTTGGTGACCTGCACGCGGATGCCGCGGCGCGGGTGGCGGTAGGTGGAGCCGGTGATGACGTTGATGGGGCGCCGGTCCTGTATGTCCGACGTGGGGCTGGTCACGCACACGGCCGCCGTCAGCACGGCCACGCGCGACACCAGCGTGCCCACGCACATGCCGCGGTAGCGCGACGGGAAGTACACCTGCCGAACACAACTTCATACAACTGGATTCTCATCTAGTGGATCGATTCAATCAATGTGTTGCTTCACAAACGGAACTAGCGAACCTATGCAACTGCCATGCCATGATTACTCAACTGAATGCTTAAAATCCCAATATCAATTTTGCTAATGATCTCGCCCAAAAAAGAGAATGGAAACTTTATAAAACGTTATTAAACACGAAGGAAAATATCAAACACTTTTCCTTGAATAAATGAAATTACTTACGAGGTATGGTAATGAGCCATGGCGTGGCTTGAAAGGCTCTCTCCCGGCGCACGCCGCCAGCCAGCCTGTGGGAACACTACGTATCACTTAAGCCAGCCAGAAACACCATTCTATTCTTCGTGAAATATTAACACAGGCTGATTCTAGGAGTAGTTTCCTCTCTCTTAGCTCTCGGGTTTCTTAGACCGTATTACGAGTACAGGCACCAGTTTGAAGCATGATAGTTTTCTCTTTAAATCAGTAGTTCTCTACATGTGCTGTATAAAACACTAGCTTTCCGCCCGCGGCTTCGCGCGCGTGGACTACAATACATTATCTACATATTTTACGGAACCCTATTTTTTCCACAATAAAATTTATGTGAAAGTATTTTTAAAAACGGTCCAGTAGTTTTTGAGCCTATTCATTACAACCAAACAAACAAACAAATAAACAAAGTTTTCCTCTTTATAATATTAGTGTAGATAAAAGCTTGCTCTGAAATTTTTATTCGATGTTAGAGCTTTACAATGTTTCTCCATGGCCTGAATATGGAGAGTGACGTGTAGTGGAGTGCAAAGCTCCATTAGGTGCGACGAAAATATACTTATTCGTTTATTCGTTCGTGACGTGATCAATCTTGTGCAGCTCCTTGTTGGTGCTGGTCCATATTATCGCGAAACAGTGAAACAAAGACGTTGTCCTGATTCCCGAACGTATAAAAATATTGCTGGAATACCTACTCGCAGCGCCACTTATCGGGTCCAATTATGATATGATCAAGGGACATACAACACAATAAGTATTCATCACTAAGTATTCTATGGGTTTGAGTATGGATTTGAGGGATTCCAGTGTCCTACAGCAAGTGTATAAACAAATCTGGGAAAACTAAATATTTATCGGTAGCTCACAAACAAATAAATATTTTTTTATCGGAAAAGGCATATTATTTGATCCTGTGAAATGATTTAAAAAATATTTATTGGCAGTGAGCAAACTAAAGAGCCGGCGGCAAAACGATAAATTGAACTTTCAGTATTTTTATGACTGAGCAATCATTTTCATTGCATGAAAAATTCTAGGGATACTGACGAGCAGACACAAAATGCTGCGTGCAGTATTTTAAAAGAGTAGAGCAAACCAAAGCTTCTTGCTTTTTGTTTTCTATGATTCTACAATTCTAAACACATTACACTTCGCTTTTCCAACTTGTTTATTATTTGTTAACCTTTTGCAGCGAACAGCATTATAGCTTTAGAGAGAGTCTGTGTTTCAAGAGAAGTGAAAAATAATAAAAGTCTGCTGGCCACGCGCTTCCCGGAGCTTTTCAACTCTAATTAATTTAGTCTCCGGTGGAGTACCCTTTCTAGTTTCCGACGACCACAATTCATTCATATTTGTTTTGCTTAAATTTTGGTCTAACGGTAGGTAAGGGTCTTAGGGCTGCGGCCACACGCGGCGGTCAGAATGTTTCAGTTTTTATTAGGTAAAAAAGAGTCGGCTGGTACAGCACACAAGATTTGTTATGGTGCGGATATTCGAAGTAACTATATGCTACATTTAAAAAATACATCTCGTTGTTATCTGTCCCGGGACTGACCGAGTAACGTTAAACACGCAAAAAGAGCTGCAGGCGCTACACAGCAAACAAGAACGCCTGGCGTGGTGCGCGCTGCCCGGCGTCCGGCAATTAGCAAATGTACGATCCGCACCCACAAACTGCTAATTAATTGAAAGTATGTCGTACACTGGACAGCGGCTAGAAAAGCTTCACCCCCCAAGTTGACCCTTCAGGGCATCAGACAAACTTGGCGCCAACACTCGTCTGAAAACAAACTTTCAACAACTTCACAAGAAATTATTTACTATCCAAGTTAAACGGTGAAGTGGAAAAGTTGTTTATTGCAGTGTGTATTACACAAAAGAATACACCGATAATTAAATTTTATTGTCTAAGAGAAAATAGCGCTCCCGCTGAATTCGCTACTGTAATTAAAAAGTTCAGGCATCGCGTTAGATACCGGCTATTATGAATTCATCGTCTCATCTTCCAATTAAGCATGCTGCTTTAAAATTGTTTATGTATTTTCAAATTGGATAATATCATATTTTGGAGGTAGGTAGACATATTCATAATAAATTAATCCTAATTTAACAAACTACTTAGCTAAATAAATTACATTTTAGTAATTGAAAATAAAAGGTCACATACCCAAGAGCAAAATAATATATCGTTTGTACATTTCACTGATTAAAGTTTCCACAGAAAAGCGATAGTAAACTGAATTTAATCATAGAATGCAGTCGGTCGTAATATCGAATATCAACAATGCGCCGCGGGCGTCGCGCCACAAATCAAAGCAGAATTGTAACATTAAACTAGCTCTTGCCCGTGACTTTGTCCTGGGAAAGTTAATGAAATCCTTATTGAATTCTCTCCATCAGCTCACGTTACTGATCCTCTCTGCTAACGACTCGGTTTCTTGTTGTTGTCTAGTCAGTAACTCTAAAAGATTTTTATCACCCATCTTTGATCGTGAACAATGAATGCTTGCAGACTCTTCAGAAGTAACCATAAAGCGATATTACGAAATCATAGCAAATTATCCTGCTTTCGCCTCCGAGATTTATTTTACCATGTAGTACCCCTGTACGACAACCCAATCCGCACACAATATTCAGCGTAGTAGTATTAAAAAACAAAAGAGCGGGCAACCCCACCCCTACCACGCTGTGGGCTCGGTGTCCGAGCGGTCTCATTCCTTTGTGCGCACGCGCAACGACCGCACGCAGTATAAGAAAAATGCTTAAGTGACGTCACCAGGACGTTTTTACCGACAAAAAACGTAATTATTTTAAGTTGTGCAGTGTAGTGACGAGAATTAGACCCAACANTAAAAAGTCACATTCACATTGTTTTTAACCGACTTCAAAAAAAGGAGGAGGTTCTCAAGTCGAGTTATTTTTCTTTTTTAACACTCTTATATTAACTTAAGTTGTATGTAAGTAACTAACTAAAAAAGTATGTAAACTAATCTAGGAAGTCGAAATTTATCCTACCTTTAATAATTTTCTCATCGATTTGAAACCTATGTAAATCGAATGTCAATACAATAATTTGGTACAATCGAGCTGATGATATTTAAACATCCAAAAGAAATATTGCTATTAAAAAGTGATGGGAAATTTACAATTCTATATTGCGCATATTTTCAATTTGATTTTCCTCAAATATATCACGGAATTTAAAGTTGATTTTTTTTATGCAATTAGACTAAATATCAGACTATATCTTGCACTTAAAAATGTTTGCATATATTAAGATATAATTGAGAAAAAAAATAAAAACAAAAATCACTAAAATCATTTTTCCTAATTAACTGAATGCGTTTACGAAGCACTTAATACGCTTATTACGTGTAGTTTTAAGATCTCTATGAAGTATTGTAACAATTCTGAATTAAATGTTATTAGTTAACGAGTGAGAATATTTTTGCATAATTTTGAAGTAAAAAAATAGGTAACTTTGAATTTTTATACCGCGAAAACTACGTGGAATTTTCAAACGGGAGTTTTACTATCATGTTTGTATAACTGAGCTCTATACGTTTCATCAAATCAATGAGAATGTACGTTTATACAGTCCCATAACACACTGTGCGATGTCGCGCGCGACAGCAGATGAAAATTTTACTGGTCGATGTTAATAACACAGCTAACCGATATGTCCATAGAGAAATGTGCCCGACAGTGCTTCAGTCCGATGTTGCACCGTCAGTTGCGTGAAATTCATTTGCAAAACAAACACCTTTTGCGGCAACGATCCGCAATCAGCACGTTTGTGGTGAATAAAAATACCTCACACTCTTCTTTTTCATAGCTTTTTTAAGTTCCAAAGGGAAGTAAATGGACTAGCCGCAGTTATTGCAAACGTGCCTATTCCATTTGCTGATGAAAGTTTATATTTACAGGGCCACATGCACGTATAGCATCAATCCTAGTGTCAATGAATTCCGTACTCTAGGCATAGTTACACTCCCAATCAAGTGAACTCTCCATTAACGGAGCCTTGACACCACACCTGGCTTAGAGAGTACACGAAGCGTGATCGAATGGAAGCCGGGAACAGATAAGACAGTGTCAAGTCAACGCCAGCATTTGTTCCAAGTGAAAGGCGGCTTGGATCTGAAATTCGTAGGGGCGAGCTAGAGGTAGGTACTCGTATCTAGAGAAGAATAATCTAAACTTTAGATTCTAAAGACCACCGGCGTGTCAGCCCTGCGAGTCTGCGACCATGAGCGTGCATGGCGTATCTATCCCATGCAATTAAACAGTGTCTCAGGAAGACACGCAAACACGTTTAATAGGACTTCTATTTTGGAAACGTCACTTTGTATCGCAGTCTTGCATAGGTACTGTTGGCAGATATTTTAGATACAAGTGTAATATTTCATTCTTCTTTTCGTGTCGACAATATTCTGCCTTCGACTGTTAAATGTAGGTACGTTTAATGTAACGCACGCGTATGCCGGGCGGGCGCTTGTCATGTTTCAGCATGTAAACTGATTTCATTCGATAGTCGATTTTGTTTGTTCACGGCTGTCACTGGCTGGAAGGCTGCCCTGCGTGGTGGCGACGACACGTCAAAATACAATTTCATATATTTTGCTTTCATCTTTGTCGGGTGTCGGCTCGTATCCGTTGCAGGCTGATGAAGGAAAACAGCCAAGTGGGTGCCGGATTCGCGCACTGGGGTTCCATATCCCCAAGTTATTTTTCTTCTCTCGCTTTACTCGTAAATGTCGTAATATCTATGTCGGATTCCAAAACAATTAAATAAAAAAGTACCTAATTTTGTATTCTTAAAAAGTGTGCCCCCATTATTATGATTCCAATTTAATTTAAATGGGAAATATCCCATAAATACATTTACTTGCACATTTCATTTAATTCCATATCTTTCATCAGAAGCGTAATTTTCTTTAAGTCAATATTTTATTTAATATTATTTCACGAACATAATACGTACGCTTCATGGATCCCGTTCGCTCCATTTGCGTTTAGGACCCTAGAAACGTCCATA